CCCCCCCCACCCCTCCGGAGCAGATACTCGGAGAGGATGGTATTTCCGATACATTCCCTCTTCTGTTCCTCGCTCCGCTCCGAGGCGCCGCCGCCGCGGGTCGCTCGGTCCTTATATCTGGCCTTGGCCTTTTTCAATCAATCAATCATTTTCTGTTTCCGTCTCTCTCCCTCTCTCGCACCACCGTCCACTACCACCCTTCCCGTCGCCCCCTATTGCTGCATTCTGTGACGGTGCGGAGGAACATGGAGAGCACATGAGAGGATAACTCTGGCGGTGGGGGATAGAGAGAGGGGGGGGGAGCGAACGAAAGAGAGAAGGAAAGCGAGAGAGAGAGCAAAGAGAGAGAGAGAGAGGGGGTGGATGGTACGAGGCTGAAAGGCTCAGTGGGCGCAAAGTTTGGCCCGCAGCCCGGCCGGGGCCAGTAGAGTGTATGATGGCGAGTGGCTGTCCGATTTATTTCCCAAAGTTTACTTCATCCCAGGGACGACCCGACCCCGACCCGGCTCTCGACCCGACCCGGTATACTCCAGCGGGACTTAAGTCGTCGTGTTGGGTGGGATCGGTGTTGTGGCCGCGGGGGGAAAGGAAGGGATGTCGAGTAGGGTGTATTGATTGGGTGTATTTGAACCCTTTAAGAACTCGGCGAAAACTATTTCTCTGTGCAATGCCTCGTCTCCTCCTCCTCACAACACCGGCCGCCCTTTCTCCCTTGTTTCCCCTCTTATTTCTCTCAGTCCCGTTGCGTGCCTGCCGACCCCACCAGAGCCCCGCGCCGTCATTTCCCCGAAGCACTTGAACTACCCCTTTCTCTACCCCCTCCTCTCCCCAAGCTCACTAGGGGGGTGCGCCTGATGGCGGTCCGGCGTTATTTCAAAGAACTCGAGTGACTCGGGTGGCCCCGCGGGGGTGGCGCCGTGGCCGGGGACCTGTTGTATCGGGGAGGAGAGGAGAAGGGGGTGGGGGTGGGGCTGGACTTACGGCCGGAAACGGCAATGTGGGGTGCATGTCTTATATATTTTATATGGAGCTGTAATCTATTGGGGGTCTTGGGGGAGGCGAGGGTGTCGAGCTGACGAGGTCCGGGGAGAGGAGGGTGGGGGGCAAGTCCTCTCGACCCGCACCTTACCTTTCACTGTGGGGGCGGGGCCCGGCCCAGCCGGGGCAGCGGGGGGCACTAATGCCCGTGTTCCACCGCCGTGCCGCACCCGCCGCGCCAGACACATTGGCCTGGAATAATGCGAGGTCGCTCGATAGATGGAACGTGTAGGGGTGGGGGTGTCCCTCTCAGACCTACATGCTCATTGCTCAAAATATGTAACTTTTGTGCGTGCTAAACGAGAAGAAAACATTCCCCTCGCATTTTTTTTTCGACGAGTTGACTGGCCTCTCTTTTCAGCCGTCGTGTGCCGTGAGCCCCGCGCTTCTCTTCCGTGCCCAGTCTATCCTTTGTCTCGACGCTCTTCAGCCAGGAGTGAGCGCAAAGTGGGGATGACTCTCACGACCCCCTGCTCTCGTACCCCTTGCTCCTTCACCTCTACGACTCCAGCACAGTCGACCCCTTATGCCGAGAAGGACGCTGTCTTTATACGTGCCTTTTTTCCTCTGCAGGAAACACCCCAAGACGTTCGCCTTCGACCACTGCTTCGACTCTCTCGACCCGGCCTCTCCTAAGTTCGCGAGCCAGGAGGAGGTGTTCGACAGCTTGGGCAGGGACATCCTGGAGAACGCGTTCGAGGGCTACAACGCGTGCATCTTTGCGTACGGCCAGACGGGGTCGGGCAAGTCGTACACTATGATGGGCGGCCGCGACAGCAAGGGCATCATACCCCGCCTGTGCGACGCGCTGTTCGACACGATCGAGAAGCGCCAGAGCGCGGAGCTGTCCTGCAAGGTGGAGGTCAGCTACATGGAGATCTACAACGAGAAGGTGAGTCGTCAAGCCGGCGGGAACCAGGGGCGGGCGCCTGTGGCTCGGGGGGTAGGCATCCCGCAGCGCAGGACAGCGATGCGGGTCGGCCCACCCGAGCCCCGAGCGCCACCTCTGAGAGCGGCCATGCTTAGCACCCTTTGTCGTTTATCGTCGTCCAGGTGCACGACCTCCTGGACCCCAAGGCCAACAAGCAGTCCCTGAAGGTGAGGGAGCACAACGTCTTGGGGCCGTACGTGGACGGCCTGTCCCAGCTCGCCGTCACCGCGTTTCAGGTAAGTTCGCACCGCCACCAACCACATGGTGCTGCGGGTTGTGCGTCTGGTGAGTCCGCGTCTCTGACTCTCGCCCTCTCGTGCAGGACATCGACAACCTCATGGCGGAGGGAAACAAGTCTCGAACCGTGGCCGCCACGAACATGAACAGCGAGTCCTCGCGTTCGCACGCCGTCTTCTCCGTGATCGTCACCCAGACATTGACGGACACGCGGAGCGGGGTGTCTGGAGAGAAGGTGTCGCGCATGTCGCTCGTGGACCTTGCCGGCAGTGAGAGGGCCGTGAAGACCGGGGCGGTGGGCGACCGTCTGAAAGAGGGTTCCAACATAAACAAGTAAGGGCTCTCTGTCTCCTCACAGGCTTACTGACGTCATTTTCTGGTATTGCGATTTACTGACTCGAGCAACTTTGGAACCCTCTTCTAGGTCTCTAACAACTTTGGGACTTGTAATTTCCAAATTAGCTGACCAGTCTGCAACATCAAAGAACAGGGATAAATTTGTCCCTTACAGGGATTCTGTGCTAACTTGGCTGTTGAAGGTTTGATTAATCTTTTTCATATTTATTTACTTATGGTGTAATTATAAACAATGTATAAATGTGGTTTGTGAATTTGTTAATTGTTCCAGGACAATTTGGGTGGAAATAGCAAAACTGTTATGGTAGCAACTATTTCTCCTTCAGCAGATAACTATGAAGAAACTTTATCTACTTTAAGATATGCAGATCGTGCAAAGCGCATTGTCAATCATGCAGTTGTCAATGAAGATCCTAATGCTAGAATTATTCGTGAGCTCCGACAGGAAGTGGAGGCCTTGAGGGAAATGTTGAAGCATGCCACGGTAGGCCATGCCATTCCAGCTTTGGTATGCTTTTTTGTTTTGTTTTGTCCTCTACTGTTTGTTTTGTTTGCTCCATTGGCTCTAAAATGTCTATGGCCATAGCCTTTTATTACAA